TTTTTAACATGAAGTTGTTGCACTGCTATTGTAATGCAGAGCCAATTTCTCACATAAGGTTCTTGTATTGCTACTGTTGCTTGAAGCCATTAATCCTTTAAGGTGCTGTTGCACTACTACTTTAGCTTTTACTATGTTTGTAATGACTTACTAATATAAGTTCGAAGTACTATGCCAACGATAAAGCCAGCCTAATATCATAAGGCAGGCAATAGCAAAACCAAAGATAGATCTCATTAATGCAAAATTTCACTCATATATACTAACTTTCACATGATTCAGCATGAACATCATATTATGCTTACAAATCTATGTACAATGATGTTATTCTGATCTTGCAATAATGTTGGCTTCATCACTTCGTTGACAAGCCAATCAATTTATTCAAAATATATATACTATATAATTAGAATACATACAACTTATAACACACTTAAATACTCAATAAGTTAATTTCTATACATACGTACGCACGTACATACATGCATGCATAGAAATAGACCATTACGGCATTACTTATATAAATTGGAATTCGATATGTATTATGATAGATAATATAAGAGATATTTATGTCAATGTCTTCTGATATGGTACAAGGAGTGTATATTGTTCAAAAATGATACAAGCTTGAAAATCATGAGCTTGAAAATCATAATTAGTAATATGACCCAATATAGCAAAGTATGAAAAGCTTACCGTTATTTGTAAACTAAATAATGCATAAAATACATACGTATAACATATCATATAAATACCGTTAGATAAAAAATACAGATTTGAATCAATTGTTAAAATTATTCAAGATAACATAACAATCAAAAATAATAAAATATGAAAGCTTACTTGATTTAAGTTATTAACGTTAGGGATCGAATTGATTATTGCATACTAAATCGAATAATATATTTGCATTAAAAATTTGGGTTGTCCAAAAATAACATAAAATACATAGTGCATATGCATTTGAATAGAAGTTATTTTGTGATAAATATGTAAAAAAATCATAGAAGAATTCAATTAAATACAACAATGAATCTTACCGTGATGTGTATTATATTTTATTGTGAAG